GGAATGCTCTTCCCTGTACTCTTTCCTTACAGGATTGAGGGTAGAATGGATTTCTGAGGTGCTGCAAAAGGTGTAGGTGTAAAATGCTGCCCTCCTCACAAGCAGCCCCTGCTGTGTGCTGTCAGGTTTTCAGCTGGTTAGTATTACTGATGCAGCCTGTCACCCAAAGAGGAAACAAGTAGTGTTAAGCCAAATAGAAGGCAGAATAAGGTAGTAGACCATGTTTCAGCCAGAGTCCTGGTCTTGCCTATTAAAACCTGATCCTTTTAATGAGTCCAAATTACACGCTTAAAGGTGCAGTATCTATTTGTGTTATGTAGCTTCTTTTAGTACCTGGAAAACCTGCAAAGGTGCCTGGCTTATTTGTCTGCCAGAACCCTTTTTGGACTGCTGTTTATCCTACCCTACCCCACTGCTGCTTAGGTAACACAGTTTAATATTGAGGTTTGATATTCTCCCTAGATAAGCTTGCAGAGTTCAAATTGAAGTGAGGGGAAGTCATTATCAGGGCGTGACTCCTGTCCAGATTCACTCGCCTGGCTTAGATGTAGTCACCCCAGCCTTGGGTGCTTCTTGGGTTTCTCAACAAATTCAGTCAGAATTCTTGCGCTTCCATCTGCAGAGTGAAAACACAGATGGTTTCTGTATTTACTATAAAGTAAATAAGTTACAGCTTGGTAGCCAAGAGCTTTCAGAAGGAAGCATGTTTCTGCTGCTGTGCTGATGCAGAGTCCTGGAAAGGTACTGCTTTCCTTTGCAATGAATCCAGCCAGTGCAGCTCAGGTTCAGCAGCATCCTTGGCACCACAGAGAAAATCAGTGATGTTAAGCCAAGTAGAAGACAGGAGAAGGCAGTTGAACTGTGTCATTTGCTGTGCTGGGGGAAGACCTGTGTGAATGGGATTGTACAGCCACGCAGTTGTAAAGGAGCCTCTCTGCAGTGATTAATCCCTGTATGTGCAGTGGGCTGGGAGAACTGAATGTATCTTTTCATAATGGAGGTGTAGTTGCTTCATTGGTGCTCCCTCTGGATAACCCTGTAGGATTTATTTAGCAATTCTAAACCCAGAAAGAATTTTAACTGTTATAGAAGTGCCTACCTATGCTTATAAGCTTAAATATTAACTGGCCTAAAAATAAAATCAGTTGTGTTCTTAAGAGAGCTGCTTAAAAAGTGGTAGTGATTAAAGCTTACAACACTTAAATCTGGATTGGGTAAATTAGCTGAACTTCAGAATGTAAACTATTGGGATCAAGCATGACACTTATTTAAATAACCATCTTCTTTGTTTTTAGGGGGAATCTGTAAAGTATTTCTTGGACAACTTGGATAAACTTGGAGAACAAGTAAGTTCTTTTTCTTTTCAGTCTTGAATTTTAAGTAGTCTTTGTGATCTCTTGGTTTCAAACAGATGAAATGGAGTTTGTGTCTGCTCAAAGAACATTATCTTTAGTTAACTTTGACTGTCCTGTTATCTCAGCAGTTCATCACTGACATGTCAAAACCAGAGGGCAATGCAAGGGGCAAGAGGCTTTCTGGAAATAAAACTTCCGTAGAAGTTGAACAAAAAACAAGTTACAAATGCCTGTCCAGTCAGAAGATTGTTAAAGTAGCACTTAAACACTAATTGTTATCCAACAGTGACTGCTTTTGGTTCTACAGAGCTGGTTAGGAGCACTCTTAAATCAGTGACAGGTCAGTGGTACCTCTCTGGAGTATCTGCTTCAAAGTAAAGAAACTTGGTACAGAACAAAACATGTTTTCTCTGGGGAAAAAAATTAAACTTCTATAGAATCATTTTTGATAGAGCTGATGGTTGGTGCTTGAATCATGTTAACAGTCTGCTGATACTCAGTGTGTACTGCAGCAGTGGCATGTGGAAAAACTGCCTTTAAAATGGGATGGGAGCTTCAACTCTGTGGGGAGGCAGCTTCTCCACACTCAGTGCCAGCTGATGGCTAACAGAGGATGGAGGAATCCAAACCACTTCAATCGAATCCTGTTACATCACACTTAATTTCATTTTTCTTTTTCTCTTTAAGAGATAAAAATTTAATTTTAAGCCAGGCTGTTTTTCTGCTTTGAACTGTCATGTTTCTAACTGGAGCAGTGGTGATCAGCCTGCCGAGTGCAGACGCTTCCCAGATATCTTGCTTGAGACCTCCAGCCCTCACTCTCTGAATTGTGGTTTGGTCTTAAGTTGTAAGGCAATATGAAAAGTATAACAACTTTAATAAACTGCTGAACTTTTTGCTAACAGTGGGTTTCTCACAGTCTTTGAATCCAAAGCCCCTTTAGTTTTGCAGGGTGGGAGCTTTTTACCCAAGTGTGTGTGCAAAGACTCTTGCAGCTTCTTTTCAAAGTTCTTTATTTAGGACTTGGGTCCATTCTTTGATGAAAGCATGAAACTTGAAGTCACTAAGTTTTTATATTTTTCTATGCACATAGTTATTTTGGGGCTGGTGTTGCTGTGGGAATTATTTAGGACTTGGGTCCATTCTTTGATAAAAGCATGGAACTTGAAGTCACTAGGTTTTTATATTTTTCTATGCACACAGTTATTTTGAGGCTGGTGTTGCTGTGGGAACTCTGAGCTCTGAATTACAGCTTTTCTGGTTTAAAGTTAGCCCAAATGATTTTGAGATCTCATGTCATAGAACATGTTAGGACTTTGTGAGAAAAGTGCTAGCTGAGTTCTGTTACAGAGTGCAAGATTTGGTGGGTTCTTCTTGTTTATGCTTATCTATATGCAAGATTTATCTCATGATTATTTCCCCAAACTATTAATGTAAGTATTTTACTGTTCTTATCTCCTATCTGATACAACTGAGCTGACCTGCAACTAAATCACTTATAAACATGTAGACCTGTGATTCACGTCCTGCTGAAAGGGAGCTGAGGAAGGGAAAAGAACTTCATGTTCAGATTTAATCAGACCAGCAAAATAAGAGTAGCTGGCTGGCCTATATATATGTGTACACGTGGGATCAGCTGGATTCCTTGCAACTGTTTGTTGTTGTTTCAACTGCCAGTGCAGACTCTGTGTATTCAAAATATCTGGGAGAGAGACACTGTTTTCTGTGTTGTAATTGGATCTTATTCGTGCCTTAAATTCTAATTTTAACTAGGCAAACAGTGAGGTGATAGCCAAAAGAGCTACCTGACAACCAAAAAAAATGTCCTTTAGAAGAAAACAGACCAGTGAATTTGAGGAAGGAGATAATCTGGGAAGAAAGCACAAGTTCTGAGTCAATGTCAAGATGTATCCATGGGAAGAGCTGCACAGAAAATAAAACAAAACAAACAAACAAACAAAACCAAAACAAACAAACAAAAAACTTCCCACCACCACCCCAAAAAAAAACAGAAAATAAAACAAAAAAAAATAACAAAAACAAAACAAAACAAAACAAAAAAAAACCACCAAACCTTCCCACCACCACCCCAAAAAAAACCCCAAAAACTTAACCACCAAAAAGAACCCAAACCCAGCACCCCAAGCAAACAAAGCCCAAGCCAGAAATGGAAAAAAGGTGGAAACAGTCAACGTGGAAAGCTGGGCCAAGTATAGAAAAGGAGAGTGATGGGGCTGCTTGCAGGAAAGCACTGACTGACAGTGCTGAACCATTGGAAGGACTTTGGAAAGAATACTGAGTGCTGCCCAAGGAAAGTGTTCCCGTGGTGCTGCAGCCCTCAGGCGTGGAGGATGGGATCAGCAGTGGGAAAAGGGCTAGTTCAGAACTGCTGCAGTGGCCAGCTGTGAGTGTCCCAGGGGCATGAAGGAGAACACAATCATCCTTCAAAAAGACAACACAGGCCCCAATAGTTTAGTTGGGAATTGTTGTATTTAGCTTCCTGTAGCCAAATGATAGCTTCACACCCAGCACTTGACTCTCTGTGCACTCGTTTCGAGGTTGTTCATTATCTGGTATAAACCATGGTCTGTCTTCTGGGCATGTAGAACTTGAAAGGATTTTATTTGTGGTTCTAAGTGCGGAAGGAATTTCAAATGAGTTATACTGGAGAGGGAATTTGTCAGGAATTCTAGGGATACACTCCCTGGTCTGGAAAGATTTACTGAATAAACTTTATAGGCCAACTCCCAGAAGAGTTTGCTTTTGCTGGGCTTTCAATATTGAAGGTACATTGGGCTTTGCTTATTATCTGTATTGGTTTTTTTTATTTATTTACCTGCTTTAAGAGTTTCAATCAGTCCTCAGCTGTCCTGGGACTTTCTGGTTTTGTTCTGAGAACTTGAGACTAACTTCTTGAGTAACAAGATTATACATTCCTGTTTGAATTTGGAATCAGTGTTGAATCTGCAACATTCTCTTGCCTAAATGTCAACAGTCAGCTTTACTCAGAATCCCTTCACGTGTGTCCAGTGACACTCAATACAGCCCTTGCTCTGTTCCTAAGATTGTCCTCCCTAACAGTTTTTGATAGAAAAGATCTAAATGTAACAAAGAGAACAATCATATTACTCCTCTAAATTGCTTCTTTTAATCAGACAAGGGGGTGGCAGCACATTGCTGCTGCTCAGTTTGGGGAGAACTTGGTACTGCTTGAGCAGTTCAGCTCTCCTGCAGGGTGAGGGGATGCAGGCTCTGGATGTGTGGCAGTCCTGCAGCAGAAAGTGCAGGGTGGGGAGCCTGTGCTTCAGAGAGCTGCTTTGTAATTAGGGCCACGATAAAAATCAGTGCCTTAGTCATGGGCAGCTCGAGTAGAGAAACCCAGGAGTTCAAACAAAACAGTCTTTCTCTAGCTAGTTTCACTTCTGAGCTTCATAGTAAAGCAAAGTGATCCTTGAGTTTTTGGAACATTACGTTCACTTCATGATTTTAAAATCCCTTTCTTAGAGGTCGTGGATGAAACTTGCCCAGCTGCCTTAAACGTAGAATGCTGGTGTTTGAGTTGCCACGTTGTTGTGTTTGTGCCCCTGCCCCAGCTTATGAATTCAGTTTAGAAAAGCTCCAAGTCTGGTGACTGGCACTGTCAAAGGAAAACAAAATCATTCACCAAGAGGAGACTAAAATCCCGACTGAAACCTAAATCACACTCTGTGAAGCTGTGAGAAATGCTGGAAAAATGGAAAGACGAGTTTCCAAAACAAGTGAGCAACACTTTAAACTTCAGCATCAGCCAGCTGTCAGTTATAGATGCACTCTTTAAATAGCAGTAAGCCTTGGACCATATGCAAAAGTATAATTCTGAGAATGAAGAAATCCCCAATACGAGTCTTGAATTTCATGCTGTTGAAAGCTGACTAATAAGATTTCATCTTCTTGGTAGCATCTGCATCCGTTGATGATGACTGCTCATGTAACAGTCATCAAAAAATGACTTATGGTGCCTATTTAAGGCAGGCTGGAGACCTTCTGGGCAGAGCTGTCTCAGATACCCTCCTGGGCTGGGCTGCTGGGCTGGGCTGCTGTCCTCAGCTGCCTGGTTCTCCTGTTCTGCTGCTGCATGCTCTGTTCTGGGCAGTGTTGGGCAGTGGAAGCTCACTGGTGTGGCACACTGCTGAGAGGAGTGACTTTTTGGACTGATACAGCTGGATGCAAAAGATCCATGGCACAAACGCAGTGAGCTGCTTAGAGCTTGTTTTTCTGGCATGATTGATTGCCTTAAAGATGACTTAGTGGCACAGCAGTTTTTTCTAGAAGGAGTTGTGCTGTATGCATGAGAACACGGGAGGAACTGAGAGCCCATAGTTAGAATGAGCTGCTCCTCTGGGTACTGATTTGGGAAACCTGCTGTAGAGCCCGTTTGCTGCGTGGCAGTGTCAGCAGCCAGCACATTGCCCAGCTTCGTGGGAGGAGGATGAATGAAGCATAAAATAACCCAGAAGGAGGGAAGCTGGCATGAGGAGTGGATGGTACAACCTCTCAGGCTGACTATGGATCCTTGTTGTGTGACAGATGGAGAGCCTCAGTTCTCTGGGGTACATGCTTTGATTTAGTGTTGTCTCTATTTCCTGCTTTGGACTCTAGATCTTTACCAAATGCTTCATTTTTGGCATATAAATATACATACATGTGTATGTTTATCCAAAACCTTGTGCTGTTCCTCTGCAAGCTTTCCTCTTGGTTGCAAGTCAGCTGCGACCCCCACGCCTGTGACTTGTATCCTAATTGGCAAACTCTCCTTTATGTTTTATTTAGGATTATCTTCCCTCGCAGCAAGACATCCTGCTGGCACGAAGGCCCACGAAAGGGATCCACGAGTACGACTTCGAGATCAAGAATGTTCCCTTCAAAATGGTGGATGTGGGTGGGCAGAGGTCGGAACGGAAACGCTGGTTCGAGTGCTTCGACAGCGTCACGTCCATCCTCTTCCTCGTGTCCTCCAGTGAATTTGACCAAGTGCTGATGGAGGACCGGCAGACGAACCGCCTCACGGAGTCCCTGAACATTTTTGAAACCATAGTCAATAACCGGGTGTTCAGCAACGTCTCCATCATCCTCTTCTTAAACAAGACGGACTTGCTCGAGGAAAAAGTACAAAAAGTCAGCATCAAAGACTATTTTCCAGAGTTCGAAGGGAATCCCCACTGCTTAACAGATGTCCAAAAATTCCTGGTGGATTGTTTTCGTACTAAACGCCGGGACCAGCAGCAGAAGCCCCTCTACCACCACTTCACCACTGCCATTAACACAGAGAACATCCGGCTAGTCTTCCGTGACGTTAAGGATACCATCCTCCACGACAACCTCAAGCAGCTGATGTTACAGTGAGGGTGCAAAAAAAAAAAAGACCTTTTTGAGCAACTTTTGCTGTGTTGGGTTTTTGAACTAGAAGTTTACAGCAGGAGTAGAGAAATCCAGATCCTGTCGGACTTCTTGATACGTGGCTAAAAGCTGCTGCTGCACACGTTATTGCCAATTTCTGCAGAAATTCAGGCTTAATCTCTTCCAGTGTAGCTTCAAGTTCACTCCAGTTGTAATTTTATAGCAGACCTATGTCTAAGTTACTTGTAAAGTGATAAATTTGACCTTGTATGAACGTGTATATTATTTTAGGAAATTCATTCCACCTTCAGAATTCCAAGTCCAAACTTCAGTGAAATTGTTGCAATTGCTGGACTGTGGCAGTAGTTTAAGGAGGAGGAGAAATTCTTCACATCTAACTTCATGATGAAGACTGTGATACCATAGCTGACTTATGATTTCTCAGGTCTATTGTTGGTTAGAAATCCCTTGCTGGAATAATCTGTTTGAAGCTGAGATTCCTGGGTGTAATGTACTTCCTGTTCCAGTGGAAATCTTTGCATGGGGTTTGACTAAGAGGTGCTGTTAAAAAAAAAAAAAAGACTTTGATTGGGAACTTGAGCTGTACCTGGCAGGAAGTACCAACACAGACAGAAGGCTGGTGGGGAGGAATTAGTGGGTGGCACAGGACACGGTTTCACTCTCTTGCATTGCTCATACCTCTTAGAGCCATGGCAAAGCACAGAGCACTATGATGCAGTCCTCTGGCGTTCTGATGTGGGAGGGGGGAGCAAGCTAAACTCCTGTTTCACATCTTCTCTAAAAAGATGTTGTGTGTAGCTGTCCTGCCCTTTCTTGAGGCGCTTTTAAGCCAGCGCTGGGTTATTTTTACTTACTTTATGACTTCTTACAGCGTGCCTCATCTCAATCAGTGAGCATTTGGTGATGGATAGAAGTACTTGCAAACCTAAGTGCCTCCTTGTGTTCTGTCCTCTGGTATCTTCAGTGGCCTTATGAGTTCCCAGCAGAGGCCTTGTGTAGCTGACACGGTGAAGATGAATGTTCCCTTCTGAGAAAAGAACATGTCACAGCAGAACACGCTTCAGCTGATGTTCTTTCTGAGACTTCCCCACTGGGTCTAGCAATCCTAAGTGTACTTGAGCCAGATATGTTGCACAGCATATTCTGGACTGCTGCTTGTGACTAGGAATATCTTACCAAAAGTTTCATTGCAGTTTCTTTGGGTTATTTTTTAAGAGAAGGTTGTTACCGTTGCCACGGGATTAAAAAGGAACAACAAAAATGACTTCTTGCCCAGAAATCCTCATACACCACACAGCACACTGCAAATGAGAGTAAGCTTGTGAGCTTGTGTTTTAAAAAGCAGTTCAGCTTGCCACTTTGCCCCGTGGAACCGGCCAGTTCCTGTGGATCACCATACTGGCCAAATGGATTTTTAGGTAACACAGCACAGACGTGGCAAAGCAGCCTGACAGTGTTCTCCCTGCTGAGAGCACTGTCCCTGCTAGAGCATAGGAAAGCTGCCAGTCTTCTCAACTTAGCCTTTCACTTACTGTGATTTTAAGTTGTGTTAACATCTCTGTACCTTGTTCTCCTGTCAGTAGAAGGGAAATAGTGTATTTTTATTTAGTTAGGTGCTTGGAAAGGCCTCTATTTTTTTAATATCATCCCGTGAGTAGTCATAGCTTAGTATGCAATTTTTGCCATAAGGCACTGTTGGGGGAGGAAACAATTCTCAGAAGAGCTTGGGAGAAGTCACAGCATGTAACCTGAACATAAAGCCCGGGCACAACACGTGTCAGGAGGATGAATGTAATCTGTGGTCGGGGCTATTTAATGTAGATTTGGCCTCACTTGGCTGGACGTGGATCTGATAACTTCTGTTTTGATGTGTACCCGTCATATGTGAGCAATTCAAGAAGGATGATGAACTAGAGACCTCAAAAAAAGGATAGGGAGGATGTTTAGGGCACTGAACAACAACATGCCTGTCACAGGAGTCCAAAAGTTCTCCGTTGCTCTCTTTGGAGAAGCATGACAGGCTAATAAGTGCTGCATGAGCAGACAAAAACCCTCTCCCTGGTAGCCTCAAAGTCAAGTGTTAGAAAGCAGAAGCTGAGCAAATTCATGGCCATGGTAAGGAGTGGCAGGTTTGGGTTTTCCCTTTGCTGACAGCTGTCTGAACAAGTTTCTTTTTTGACAAGAGACTTATCTCTGCTCTGATTAAAGTAATTAATTTGGAGAGGGTCTGTAGTATGTGTCTTGCAGGATGTCAGACTAGATGATGGCAGAAGAGACTGGAAACTGGATAGTGGATGATAGGAAGATTACCAGGAACTTGTCTGTAAACAAATTTGATGTCAAATATTGATGAATTTTGTTTCAAGAGCCCTGTTTATCTGCTAAAGATCCTCAAAACTGATGTGGGCTGAAGGGTATAGCTGGCATCACTAAGGCGCTGGACACTTGGGACGTTAGCTGGAGCAGGGAGAATACTCAGCAGGCAGTTGCCCTGCACCAACACCACTGCCCTGGTTTGGATCCTGTCAGACCCCTTTCCCCACCCACCCCAGGGCCTGGGGGGCAGCGAGGTGGGTCCCTTCTGACAAAGTGGTGGGCCCTGGGAGATAAGCACTATATGAATCTCAGGCAGAAATGAATTATTTTAATGAAATGAAATGACTGAGTCAAATCATTTTTGTTTCCCACCCCGTTAGAGGGGGTGAGGTAACTAATCTTGATGTAAATGTTTACATGTTCCTTTGTTAACAGATAAACCCAATCAACGTTGGGCTTTTCCATCTGCAGACTTGCTCTTTCTTAGCTACCTGAAAAGGAATATAGCATGTACTGTTAGAATCTAGAAACAAATCTAAAAGGAAATACATTGGTGTATAGTGGGATATCATTTTGGTACAAGAGCTGAAGGATTGATGTTTTGGACAGACTGATTCTTATCCTGAAGCAAACAGGAGAGTCACAGTTGGCTGGTCAGAGTACAGCAGCCCGTGGCACAAGGTCAGGATGTGTTTCTAGTGAAGGTGGGAAACGGTTTTCCCAAAACTTTGAGTTCTCTTTGGTGGAGTGAGAGCTCTGTTCAAAAGCTCACTGACCATATGGAGGTATACCACTGTCTTGTACAGCCTTCCTGTACTTGAAGGTGAAATTGGTGTTTCAGCGACTGTTCCCTGCTGCAGTGTGTTAAGCAGAGGTGGTTGATACCTAAAAACTGTGGCTGTTCATCAGGGCTTTAAAGATTTTACCTGTTTTATATGTTGTATGTGGGAGCGTAAGCCATCGGTTCGTGTAAAAACTTCAGCGTTCTACTAAAGTATCTGCTCTTAAAAAACCAAGTGAATTAATTGATCTCAAAGGCTGTATATTGGAGTCATTCGTCTAGTAACTAGCTTTAAATTTTGCCCGTCAGAATTATTCTAGCAAATGGCTCAGATCAAAGTGGGTGTTTCAAGCTTCAGGAGGCTTGGCTAACAGTAGTGTTCCTGCTCCCCAGGGCTGGGAGCACCTCGCTGCTCACAGAGCTGCCCACACCCGGGTTATTTCCCTGCAGGACAGCTGCAGAAGGTTCATTTTCCACCCATAACCTCTCCCCTTTCAGAAGGATCACGAGTCTCACACCATGCCCAAACCCTTCCCCACTTCACCTCACAGGTCGTGTCTCTTTGATGGTACCATGAACCAATTTTGGATCACACAGCGTTGCAATACAGTGCCATTTTGTTGCAATTCCTTTGCCTTGTACTTGAAAATGAGTTGCAGACTATTTAAAACAGCTTTCCTGCACTTCCAGGAGCAGCGAGAGCTCACCTGAAGCCTTTATGTAAAAATATATTTTGTAACAAACTCATAGGTCTTTAACAGAACTAAGATTTGTATTAGCCTGGGATAAATGTTTGTGGCTTACAATTTTATATGTTCGACTTTTTATAAACTTTCCAGGGACTACATTTGATCTTAATTTTTTTTTTTTTTTTTTTTTTCCTCCTTGCTTTAGTTTAAGATTGGCAATAAATTATTTCTAAGGCAGGTCTGATAAGAAAAAGCATCACTTCCTTTTTTATAAAACGGTTGAATTGATCCATAGTTTCAAACCTCTTACACTCGCTTGTACAACGCTCTGTACATACTCTCCAAAAGTGTTGCCTTTCAGCTATTAATATTTGCCTTGTGTACAAAAATTACTGATGATGAATAAATGTATACAGCCTCACGTTGGTATTAGGAAATTATTTCTTGTCTAATTAATAATAGACTTTTCTTTTTTGTTGGCAGCTGCTCTCCTCCTGCCACATCTTGTGTTTCAAATCAAACCTCTAACGAGTCAGGCTCTGGTTCTAAGCAAGCTCTTGGCACAAAGGGCTCGTCCAGGCTCTTGGTCAGCCCAATTTGCTTTCCCTCCAGGAGAGGGGCACAAGGAAATTGCTGACTTGCATTTGACAACCAGTTTGGTACTTGGTATTTCAAATATTTATGCCACTCTTGTGTGTTCTGGCATAAGTGACAAGCCTCTGTGTAAATTCTAGGTCTCGGTAGTGCCGAGTTAGGTTTCCAGTGTGTTTTCTGAGCTGTTTGCTGCAGAAGCCAGCCTCTGCCACCTCCACAACGGGTCACTGGCCACTTTGCAGCCAGCTGCAGGATGAAGAGGCGTTTTGCAGCAAAACATTGATTTCTCCTTGTCTGTTTTCATAGGCCTGAGGTGCTTCATTTTCCACAGCAGCCCTCAGATTCAGCTGGCGTGCCGTGGGCACCACGGCTCTCAAAATACTCAGATGGGGTCGTGCTCAGCATCAGGATGTGTCAGAGCATCAGAGTAAGGAAACTGTAGAAATTCTTAGTGGGTGGTAAGGTTGCTGTGGAGTAAGAGGTGCCTGCCTGCACACTCTGCACTGTGGGGAGCAAGGAGCCACCTCTGCTTGCTGCAGTGGGGAGCTAAAGCCTGTCAGATACCCTCAAACTACCCTGGCTCCACAGCGTGGGGAATCCAGGTCCTGCCTGTTCCTGGGGGCTCTGTGAGGAATCACCACCTCATCCCTCAGCTGCTTTTATTCCACTGAAACAGTCCTGTCAACTGCACACCGTTTGTGATGTGGCTCTGACTTTGAAAACCAATCTCTAGGGGTTTTTGAAAGCTTTTTTTCTTGCATCTTATTTCCTGAGATGAGTTCAGCCACATGAGGAGTGACACGAACATCTAGAACTCATCTTA